ATGAGCTCCCCATCATAGGGTATCCAAGGATGATGCCTGTCTATGATGCCAGAGGGGATTCTGGAAGTTGGTAGACTGGACTAAATGAAGCTTAGAATGTTTCTTTTGGAAAAGACCTCAGGGATCATCTGGTCTAAGTCTCTTCACTTTGGAGAAAAGAAAATATTTCCAGAGAAGACAAGGGCCTTTCCCAAGCTCACATAGCACGTTAATAGCAGAATTAGAATTCAAAGTGAGGTCCTCCAAGCCTCTTCCCACTGCACCACACTTCCTGAAAAGGAAGCAGGGAGGCATCCTAGGGGAAAGAGCACCAGATTTTAGGTCAGAGGACCTAGCTCTGCTAACTGTGTGACCTTGGGAAAATCATTCCTTCTTTCTGAACCTCCATCTTTTCATCTCTAAAATGAAGTATTTGGGTGGGGCCAACATGGCAGAGTGAAGGCAGTGACTCGCTTGAGCTCTCCCCCAAACCCCTCCAAATACTCATAAAAAATGGCTCTAAACAAATTCTAAAGCAGCAGAACCCACAAAAAGACAGAGTGAAACAAATTTCCAGCCCAAGACAACCTGGATGATCGATCAGAAAGGTGTATCGCACCGGGCTGGGAGTGAAGCGCCGTGCGGCAGGCCTCAGCGAACCTGGAGCAGGCCTCAGAGGACTGAATCTCAGGCAGCTGTGGTGGCTTCCAGACTCCTCAATCCACCAATGCCAAAGAGAACTTAGAAGGTCAGTGGGAAAAGTCTGTTTCTGCAGTGCTGAGAGAGGAACACAGGGTCTCAGATCCATTCCCCAAGAGCATAGCCCTGGGGGGGGGGGTCAGCTGCCCCCTGAGCTTCTGGCCCATAGACTGAGGGGGAATCCAGTGGCTGATCAGAGAGGGATTGCAGGGATCTCTTTGCCAGTGCTGAGGCAGGAATCTCTTGCTTTGCCTGTGTGTGGATCTGGGTCAGAGTTCTGGGTGGCGTTCCTGGGGTGAGGAGGAGCGCTGGGATGGTGGGGCTTGTAGTGGCTGTGGAGAGGAAACCCTCCTCACAGATACAGGACAGAAAGGAGTTCTGGTGGTCACAAACCAGGAAAGGAGTAAACACCTCGCCCTTATCATACCACCTTGGAAGAACTGAAAATTTTCAGGTCCCTACAAGTATCTCTGAAAACAGCTGTACAAACCCCAGAAGCTTGGGACAGTACATTCTCCACATTGGAAGCAGACTCTTACCTTAACAAAGAGTTTAAAACTCAAGTAATTGGCCAGGAATCATGAGCAAGCAGCGCAAAAAGAGTCAGACTATATTATCTTACTTTGGTGAAAAGAAGATCAAAATATACAACCAGAAGAAGACAACAAAGTCAAAGCTCCTACATCCAAAGCCTCCAAGAAAAATATGAATCAGTCCCAGGCCTTGGAAGAGCTCAAAAGGGATTTTGAGAAGCAAGTAAGGGAAGTAGAGGAAAAACTGGGAAGAGAAATGAGAGTGATGCAAGAAAATCATGAAAAACAAGTCAACAGCTTGCTAAAGGAGACCCAAAAAATACTGAAGAAAATAACACCTTAAAAAATAGCCTAAAAAGGCAAAAGAGGTCCAAAAAGCCAATGAGGAGAAAATGCCCTAAAAAGAAAAATTGGCCAAATGGAAAAGGAAGTCCAAAAGATTACTGAAGAAAATACTTCCTTAAAAATTAGAATAGAGCAATTGGAAGCTAGTGACTTTATGAGAAATCAAGACACTGTAAAACAAATCCAAAAGAATGAAAAATTAGAAAACAATGTGAAATATCTCATTGGAAAAACAACTGACCTGGAAAATAGATCCAGGAGAGAGAATTTAAAAATTATTGGACTATCTGAAAGCCATGATCAAAAAAAGAGCCTAGACATCATCTTTCAAGAAATTATCAAGGAAAACTGCCCTGATATATTAGAACCAGAGGGCAAAATAGAAATTGAAAGAATCCACAATCTCCTCCTGAAAGAGATCCCCAAAGGAAAACTCCTAGGAATATTGTAGCCAAATTCCAGAGTTCCCAGGTCAAGGAGAAAATATTACAAGCTGCCAGAAAGAAACAATTCAAGTACTGTGGAAACACAATCAGGATAACACAAGATTTAGCAGCTTCTACATTAAAGGACAGGGCATGGAATATAATATTCCAAGGGCAAAGGAGATAGGATTACAACCAAGAATCACCTACCCAGCAAAACTGAGTATAATCCTTCAGGGGAAAAAATGGTCATTCAGTGAAATAGAGGACTTTCAAGCATTCTTGATGAAAAGAACAGAGGTGAATAGAAAATTTGACTTTCAAATACAGACTCAAGTGGAACATGAAGAGGTAAACAGGAAAGAGAAATCATAAGAGACTTATTAAGGTTGAACTGTTTACATTCCTGCATGGAAAGATGATATTTATAACTCATGAGACCTTTGTCAGTATTAGGGTAGTTGGAGGAAAAAATTATATGTATAGTATGTAGATAGATAGATAGATAGATAGATAGATAGATAGATAGATAGATAGATAGAAGAGGGCACAGGGTGAGTTGAAGATTAAAGGGGTCATATCTGGAGAATAAAATTAAGGGATGAGAGAGGATTATACTCGGAGAAGAAGAAAGGGAGATGTAGAATGGGGTAAATTATCTCACAAAAAAAACAGAAAAGTCTCTTACAGTGGAGGGGAAACAGGGGAAGGTGAGAGGGAATGAATGAAATTTCTCATGGGATTTGGCTTATGGAGGGAATAACATACACATTCAATTGGGTATGGAAATCTGTCTTACCCTACAGCAAAATAGGGGGAGAAGGGGACAAGAGAGCAGCAGGGGGATGATAGAGAGGAGGGCAGATTGGGAAAGAGGGTAATCAGAAGTAAATACTTCTGAGGAGGGACAGGGTCAAAAGAAAGAATAGAATAAATGGGAGGGCAGGATAGGATTAAGGGAGATAGAGTTAGTTTTTCACAGCATGTCCACTGTGGAAGTGTTTTGCATAACTGCACATGTATAACCTACATTGAGTTGCTTGCCTTTTCAATGAGAGTGGGTGGGGAAGGACGAAGGGAGAAAATTTGAAACCTAAAGTTTTAAAAACATGTGTTTAAAAGAATGTTTTCACATGCTACTGGGAAATAAGAAATACAGGAAATGGGGTACAGAAGTTTATCCTGCCCTACAGGAAAATAGAAGGAGAAGGGCATAAGAGAAAGGGGGAGAGATAGAAGAAAGGACAGACTAGGGGAAGGGATATTCGGAATGCATGTCATCCAGACCTAGGATCCTATGAAATGAGATGGCCAGGGCACCCCTCAGGGTCCTCAGTCACCAGCTTCCTGCCTAAACCTTCCTTCTCAATACTCCCTGTGGTCCAGGATCTTCTTCTCCCCCTGCACTTAGACACTGCAGGCCGGTGAGCTCTCCTCTACCCCAACAAGCCTCCCAGTCTAGAGGCAGGAAGGCAGGGAGAAAGAATCGGAGACCACAACTTGGGGAAGACAAACGCCAATGGTGAGGGTAGACATGGAGAGAGCGGCACTGAAGCCTGGTCTTCCTAGAACACTCTCTGCGGGGCCTCCTGATTTGGGTCACAGATGTACAGCCGCTGTTTATATTCAGGGCCTCAGACTGGGGGCCCTTGGCTGCCTCTGAAATGGAGCAGCCAAAGCTACCTATCATCACGCTGAAGAGGTTCGTCCTTCAGCTCTGGAAGGTGTCTTCTGTGTGCCAGGACAGCTGAGCTCATCGGGGGCAGGCTGACAGAGGTGCTCCTACCCCGGCAAACAGGAGGTCACTTTTATCTTTCCTCCCATTATTCATGGGTGGATGGAATGGCCTTTGCAGGTAGTTCTATAATTCCAGGCATCTGCACAAATCCATCCCCCTTCTCCCCTTACCCACTCCCTCTACCTGCTGCTCTTTGGAAGGAACAGTGACTGGAGAAGCAAGCCCTTCTCAGTCTCCTCATTTGGAAAACAAGGCGCTTTGACTGGACAGACGCTAATGTCCCTTCCAGCTCTAAATCTACGCCCTATGACCATCTGAATTCCCACACCTCTAGATCCAGTCCAGCTTTGGATGTCAATGTCCTGCCTAAAACATGGCCTCCAACTATGGTCTGACCAGGACAGAGGGCAGCAGGACCCATATACCTCAGAACACTTAATGCCACTTAATATCCCCTCAGATTCAGGAGCTCTAATAATAATAACAGCATACTCTTGATTCCTAGCAAACTTGAAATCTAAAAGTCTTTTCACAGGACCTTTCCCTAGCCTTGGCTTTCCCATCCTCTAGTTATACCATGTATTTCTTAACCCCAAAGTAGGACTTTACATTTGTCCTTATTAGATTTTTTTTCTTACTAGATCCAGCCTTTGGTCCCAACCCATCCGGATCTTCTATGGATCTGAACCAGCAGTCCTTCCCAGCTTTCTGACATCCACAAATTGGATAAGTGGGACACCTATGCCTTCATCTGAGCCATTAATAAACATGTCACATTGTAGAACTATAAAGACAGTCCTACAGCCTACCAGAGGCCTTCCTTCAGATTATATCCATCTATTATTTATCTATATTATATTATATTATATTATATTATATTATATTATATTATATTATATTATATTATATTATATTATATTATATTATATTATATTATATTATATTATATTATATTATATTATATTATAACATCATGATCATATCTGGCTGTTCACTTAATCCCAAATCCACCTAAACGCATCATAATCTAGTCCACACCCCCCATCTTATCCATGAGGATTTTGGAAGAAATGTTAATATTCCTGCCAAGCCCAGGAAAAAATAAGGCCCAGTGGAGTCAGGAGTAAGATGAAAAGTCTTCAAGGTTCTCTCCCAGACACCATTTCAAAAAAAAACTACGGGTTGTAGCAGCAACAGAGGCCTGCCTCAACACCCCCTCCCCCTCCTGATATTTTTCTCCTAAATGCCTGTTTCTGTAAAGCAGAGTCAGAGAGACAGTACCTTCTCCAGCTGGTGAATGCCTTCCTCTACACAGCAGATAGAAGCAAGAGTACGTAATGTCTGGGGATACAGGCACCGGAAACAATCCTGCCGGCAAATCTTGAAGAGGGCCACAACACCCCCCTCCTGCAATGACATAGAAAGATGAGAGAGACAAGTTACCGCAGAGGGCTTCATATTCATGGTGCACATCACACACACACACACACACACACACACACACACACACACACACACACTAGCAGACCACTCCAGGTCTCTAAGGTACCTTCTGGCTATAAATCCTCTGAGAAAGGAAGTAACAGACCAAGGACACACAGAAAATAAGTAGCAGAGTCAGACCCTCTAAATTCTAACCCAGCTCTCTTTCTGCTGTGCTGTTTTGTCCTCTAGAAGGGACTAGAAAGTAAAGAATGGAGGCCAGGCAAGGCAACCTTCACAAAACACACTGGGGATAAACAACACAGAATATGCCCTTAAATCAATATTTTTCAGACAAATATGTGGAGGCAAAGACAAGGAGACAGATAAAACCAGTCTGTTGAAGAGAAGGGGAGATAATACAAGATGTCACAGTCAAGGTAAGTCATCATCTGATACTTTCCTATTTTAACTAATTATGCTTGCTAACAAGGTACTAAGTTCAGTTGTATCTATGCTGCTAAAGGAACCTCAAGTATTGTCAGTGTCCTTTAAATGTTAGCACCCTGACCCAACCTTGATTATGGTACTGGTGGAGTAGGCTGACTACCAGCATTAAAAAGTTGGTGGAAAAGAAGGAGACATATCATTGTCAATATGTTAGACATAATGGCAACCTCCCAAGAGATAAAATCATCCTGCTATAATTGATCAAATGACATAATATTCATAAACATTTCCTGGCACACAGTAAGCACTTAATAAATGTTTGTTTCTTTCTCTCCTCTTGTCACAAAGAAATACGCTACAATTAAAATCTTCATAGACTTGGGTCATATACAGCAATATTTCCCAGGACTACACAAAACCCATGGTTCACACCAATCACAACATTCACCAAGTCGGAAAGGCAGAGTGTGCAGAGCCCTGGTCTGGGATTTAGTTGACCTGAGGGGGGAAATCTTGGCTCCCCTGCTATGTGACCTTGGCATATTATTTCCTCTAGACTTCAGCTGGCTCCGAGGTAAAAGATGAGGGCTGGATAAGAAGGATTCCAAGGGCCCTTTCAGTCCTGACAATCTATGATGAAATACAGACTTCAAAGGAGCAGCAAAGGTCAGGGAAAGCATCGCCTTCTCACCCCCCCATCCCTGAAACAAGCTTAGCCTGGTTCTCAAATCCTTGCCACCAAGGGACTTTGACCCGCAATCATACAACCTATAAACCAGACTGCTTTATAGGCAAGGCAATTAACAAACGCTCCTCCATTTCTTGCGGTGGCCAAGCCTGAGTGTAGCCCAGGGAGTCAGGATCGTGAATCATCATAACTCCCTGTCAGCCTCTCTGTATATCTGCCTGGAGTTCCGGAGAAGAAATGGAGATGTGAGGAGTACAAAGATCTGTCTTCAGTGGATCTCCAGCCTAGCCCAGCCCAGTCTAGATCGGCCCACCTGGATCTCACTCCAGCTCAGGGAGAATAGGAAGGGTGACTCTGAACAGCCCTTAGACAGCCAGGCAAAGCCAGGGAGGCATCCTGGTGTAGCAGACATGGTCCTGGACTGGGAATTGGAAGGCTTGGGTTCAACAGTGTTCTGAAGCTAATCATGCCTGTGGAGTCAGCCAAGTTCTTTCCACTCTTTGGAGCTCCTTTGCAAGAGAAAGGGCTCTTTAAAGGGACTGCAGATGTAGAGGTGAAACAGGCCTTAGAGATCACCTCATCCAACCTCCCATGTTTTTTCAGAGGAGGAGCTGAGTTGTAGAGAGGCCCCAGGTCACGCAGTGAGTAAGTAGAGGAGCCAGATATGAACGCAGCTCCTGACTCCAAAGCAACCCTCTTGGTTCTACAAGTCTACAGTGCTCTGAGTATAACAATTAAAACAACACTCATTTCTAGAAAGCTTACAAAGCTGTTTCCTCACAACTCTATGCAATAAGGAATGCAGATATTATTATCCCTATTTTACAGAAGAGGGAAACAAAACTTAGATGGGGCAAGTGTTTGGCCCAAGACTACATAGCTATCAAGTGTTAGCACCATGATTTGAACTCACGTCTTCAGGCTCCAATTCCAGCCCTTTTAATGTTGTGCCAATCTGCCTTTCAAGAAATGCCAAACCCCTCAGCTTGATCTCCTTCCAAACCTTTTTACACCATTGGCTTCAAGGTTCCTTGATGATATGTGGCCTCCTTGAGTGAGCCTCGGCTGGGTTTCAGATGAGACCATCAGATCGAGGGAAGTTTCCTAGATGAGACCATCTAACCTCTCATCACCTCACATGGGGTCCCCCATCCTTAGGCCCTGCAATGGGAATCCGGGGAGGTCTCCTGACTTTCATTCCTTTCCATCACACCATTCTTCCACTGTCCAAAGGCACAATTGTACAATGTCCTCTTCCTACTTCCTACTAAAAAGCCATTACCAGTCCAAGTAGCTGACCAAGACCAGGCAGGCCAATGCATGAGCATTCCAAGAAAACTTAATCATGAACTTGGGTCAAGCCTCACCTGGAATAGGGATGGTGACCAATCCCAGGACTGATAGGGAGCTGGCTGACACAGTGGAGAGAGTGCTGGGCTGGGAATCTCAGGAAGACCTGAGTTCAAATCTAGCCTCAGACATTTACTCACTGTGTGACCTTGGGCAAGTCTGTTTGCCTCAGTTTCCTCATCTGTAAAATGGAGATAATAACAGCACCCACCTCACAATATTGTTGTAAGGATCAAATAATATTTATAAAACACTTAGCATAGTAAGCACTTTACAAATGCTAGCTATTATTATTGTTGTTGTTGTTACTGTTATTATTATGTGCTAGGCCAAGAGTCTCAGGAAGATCTGAGCTCAGATCTAGCCTCAGACATCTACTCACTGTGTGACCTTGGGCAAGTCTGTTTGCCTCAGTTTCCTCATCTGTAAAATGGGGACAATAACAGCACAATGTTGTTGTGAGGATCAGATAACATTTATAAAACACTTAGCATAGCAAGCACTATAAAAATATTAGCTATTATCATTGTTGTTGTTGTTATTATTATTATTATTATTATTATTATGTGCTAGGCCAGGAGTCTCAGGAAGACCTGAGTTCAAATCCAGACACTTACTTGTTGCGTGACCCTGGAGAAGTCACTTAACCTCACTTAGCCTCGGTCTCCTCATCTGTAAAATAGGGATAATAACAGCATCTCCCTCCCAGGGCTATTGTGAGGATCAAATGAAATTCAGGAAGCATTTTTGCTCCATAGCTAGCACGTAGTCAGTGCTTAATAAATGCTCATCCCCTTCTCTCTTTTCCTTAAACACGGGATTCATAACAAAGTGCAGGCTCATTAAGTGCTTAAGTAGGCATAATCTGTTATGGGAAAGGTATGACGGCTTCTATAAAGGGAAACAGAATCTCACTAATAATCCCAGAGCTCTTTAAGGAGACAAATGAGCCTGGGGACAAGCGGGAACCGGCAAACAGACCCTGCTTTCACAGAGCCATGGCAATATTCCCCATGGGAAATGGTTTCATCGTCAGTACAGAGCGGCTTAAAACAGGAAGGCAAGGTAAGGTTCTGGATGAAGACGGCCCAATAGGAAGTGCCCCCAGGACTGGGACTCTTAGCAATCTTAGGCACCATTTTCCAAAGAGATCTGTAAGAGTCAGGGTCCAAAAAGGGCAAGTTTCATGTTGACCCAGACAACGTTCCAGGGAGTGAATACTGAGCCTATGGAGAGAAAGCACAGGGGAAACCACGTAAATTTGATGTAAAGGTGGCAGGTTAACTTAGTGTAAGCAGCCACCAAGTCATGCCTTTAGAGTAAAATAACCTGATTTTTCCTTTCATGCCACAAGTGATGAGCTATGACAAAGGAAACAGGTCTTAGGGTAAAGATGGTGACATGATTGGATCCAAATAAAATCAGCTCTCTCCAGGCAGCAAAGTGGCCCAGGGGATAGAGGATTGGATTTTGGAGACTTCTTGTTACCATCGCAACTCTTCATGATCCCATTTGGGGTTTTCTTGGCTAAGATACTGAAGTGGTTTGCCATTTCCTTCCCCAGCTCATTATACAGATTAGGAAACTGAGGCAAACAGGGTGAAGTGACTTGCCCAGGGTCACACAGCTAGTAAGTGTCTGAGGCCAGATTTGAACACGTGAAGATGAGTCTTCCTGAATTCCAAGCCCAGCTCCTTATCTACTGAGCTACCTAGCTGCCCACCACTATACCTACCCCCAACTCATCCCTCAATGCTGCAGTCTCAGGCCTGCTCCTGAGCTGCCAGCATCCTAAAGGAGATAGATGTCTCCTATGATTCTAGATGTCACCTACTGGAAAAAGCTGCTCTTCCTTCCTTCCCTGGCTGGGATTCTCTCCTACCTTCCCTTACAACATTATATCATCTCCTAACCTATGGATGAGGTCATTTTCCCCTGCTTTGGCCCAAGCATCTCAGGAACCTTCTGGGAAGAACCAACCACTTGCCAACCACTCTTCTGATCATGAATTCTGATGTTCTGAGGCATCCCTGGGGGGAGCCTTCTTGGGCCAATGGCATGTGGTTGGGATAATTATAAGGATGCAGACAGCTGGAACACCCTGTCTGAAAGCCCCGTGCTATTGGGATGGCAAGAAGGTTCAAAGAGAGGGTAGTGTCACCTATTTAGGTTGGTTGCTTAAGCAGCTGGATCAGTTAGTGAGAGAACAGGAGAGAGGGGAGGGGAGGAAAGCAGATTCAAGGGCAGGAGAAACAGATAATAGGACTTGTTCTGTTTTCCAGAGGTCAGGAAAAGAAGGGGATGACCAGCAGGGTGGGAGGAAGACATGAAAAGGATCAGAACAGCCAAAACAGAGGAGAAATCAAATTACTTAGGACAGAAATGGTCCCTAATTGGCATAAGGTCCCACCAGTCATACTCTGACCTAAGCAAGAGAAAATCTCCCTGCAGAATATTGGAATCAGAGTCTATGAAACCCAAGATACCAATTAAATCA